GAAGGCAGTGCTGGTGGAATTCTCGCCTCCCATGGTCCTCATGCACAGACACCAGCCATCTGGCCATGGAGACTTGCGGCCTACTATGATGCTGAAATGGTTTTAGTGAAGCTTCCAGACAAAGACAGACTAAGAAGAAAGACTTGGCGATCCACTTCTGAAAATCAGCCAATGGAAAATCAGCCAATTGGTCTAGTATGCAGCCAATCACGGTACTAGTGCAGATTGGCAACGTTTCATTCCATTGTGCATGGGGTCAACATGAGTCAGAGTACCAGATCGGCAGCAGCTAACAGTCACTGTTGTGTAATTGCTGGTTTAGAGCCCGTCTTCTCCATTCACCTGGAAACTCCATGATGGCAGGGACATGCCTGTCTATCTCATGCTTCATGCCTGTAGCCTTAATCGGTTTCATAGCATATATACATGGTGCAATGTGGAAGGAATGCATTTTTAGCAATGAGAATGACCAGGACTACTGGGGAAATTTTGGAGGAAGTGACTGCCTGGTGATTCTTTAATGTCGAGGATTTTGGTGATGGCTTGGCTTGGCTTCAGGTGTCACTTTTGCCACTTGGTGTGACCTTGTCCAGGTGTTCTCTTTAAGCTTCAGCTTCCTCTGCTGTCAGATGCAAGTAATAGTACTACCCGCCCCATGGAATTAATGCAAGGGTTAAATGGAACAGCATTCCCCCCAGTAAAGCACTCGATGCAAGGCCGGGCAAACAGAAGCTGCATGAATAAGAAGTGGTTATTAAATTTTTATCATGATGATCAAGAATCTGCTAGGTGGAGACTTAGAATGGTGCAGTCACGTTTCTTCTCTTGTCCCCAGTTCCCTCTTAATTTTCTTGACAAATTCAAATGAAAATAAAGCTGCAGTCTTATTCACAGATGGGCCCACCCCTGCACTCCTCCATGTCTCGGTGGGTGCCATCCTTGAGGTGTAGTCAAAGCAGAGCTCTGGGCTGGTGACCTGGAAGACTTCCTTTGATGTACCTTCTCTTCCAAGTCCAAGCTCCCAGGCCTCCTCCCACCTGAGCTCTGTGTGTGGTCTATCTGGAGAAGGGCGGATGTCTCCATGTCTAGGCATTGGCCGGGGTGCCTGCACTTTTTGCCCTGTTGTCTGCCCTGCTTTGCTGGGGGTGGGGGGGTGAGTTTTGGGCCTGGGGGGTCTGGGTGAGGCAGGGCTCAGGGCCAGGCCGGGGCAGGGCTGGGCGGTGGGACTTTCCCAAGCCCGGTTGTTAGCATCCTACCTGCTCTCCTGTTAGCTCTTCATCCTGTGGTTATTAGTCACCTCACTAATGAAGCTGGTCTTTAGCTTCTGGGACAGCTGATTTCCAGGGGATTATTTGTTTTACACACTTTAATGCTTTTTAATAGCAAATTTTTAATTAAATGGAAAGTCCTTTTGGAAGCAACGAGCGGCAGCTGCAGCAGGTCTCGGCACAAGGCCCCGAGTGAGACCAGAGAAGCGCAGCGCGACGCGGAGGGAAGAAGGGAGGGTGGCAGGGCTGCGCATGCATGCCAGGCTGGTTTGAATAGGAGAGACAGGAGTCTGGCTGTCGCTCCATCTACCCTAAAAGCCCTCCTCTATCATCAGCAGGTCTAGGAAAGCATGAGCTTGCTTGCCCAAGTGTACGAGAGAATGATTTGAGGAGGTAGGGGTATTAGGAAAGGAGTTGCTTCTCTTTGGCCCTGTTGGTAAATTATAGAAATACTGAGTTTGGGGTGGAATGTGGGATTGAGTAACTAGATCGGCTCAAATAAGGTAGGCAACATGAAGTATAAACAGTTGTTAGGATCTGGTTCCAGCCTTGGCAGGCCTCCGATTCCTCATTTGGTAGGCGAGGAACAACACAGGCTTATAGAGATGGGAAGTTCCGCCTGCAGCATGGCCCTGAAGTCCAACTTGTACTGATTTTGCATTGGTGGGAGGTGGTGCATCTAGCAGTGAGAACACAGCTCCTGGTGGGGTTAGTGTATCCACCCCCCACCCCGCCCCTAATATGGATCTCCTGCTATATCAGACCACACAGTATCCTTGGTAATGTTTGTTATCTATTTTAATCATAGAATAATATGTGATAAATATAGTTGTGAATTGCATAAATGTAATCTTTCTTAGATTATATGAATACTAACAACATAATTGCTTTGTAAAACCTTTCTACATTGAATTGCATTATTAGCCACAACGTTACTAGTAGCTTGAGTTGGTAGCCTTTAAAAAAATTTTTTTTTTCTTGTACTGTTCCTGTATTTACTACTTCATTCTCAAAACAGTTATTGATACAGTTTTACAAATACTGTTCACTCCTCATCATTGTAGCTGAAACCTTATACTGGGTCACCATGAGTGGGAACCTAATGTATGACACTTTTAACAACAAACAATTATAACTAAAGCACCAGAAAATTTGACGGACTCAGTGACCATAAAAACACCACCAGCAGCAGAAACTATGTGATTTGAAGCATATTGTAATTGAGTAACAAGGGCAGCTCTGGTCAGAGCATGTTAGAAGGTTCATAGGGTTTTAGCCTTATGGGTATATTGATACTTGTAAGCTGGGCTTATGAAAAATGTTATGTTGTTATACTTAACTTCAGGGATTTTTTTTTTATAAAAATCATAATAAATTTCTGCTGAAACACTGTCCCCAAATTATCTTATAGACAGTAATTTTGGAGTCACCCAGTGCGGTTCACACCCTCAGCAGTCCTATTGCTGCCACTGGGGAGAGACACTAATCGGTTTGGTGTCGAGCCATTCCTTAAGTGTTCCAGGAGGTGCTCCTGAACCTCTTGGGATTTGGAACAAAGGTCAAGCAGAGGGAGCCCTTTGGAACAGAACTCCCCCATCAGGAGAGTTCAGGTGAGGGAGTGATAGCACAGTAGGGACACCTGATCAAGACATCCAAGCATCCGGTTGTGTTTGCATTAAATGATGCTCAGGGGTTGGCATTTGAGCCAGAGGTGGCTTTGTGGGTAAGAGCTTGAAGAGGAGACCTCAGTAGACATTCGGTTGGTGTTTTGCCCAGGAGTTCTGGAGACAGGGAGCCAGAAGGGCTCTGGCTCGCCAGCTTTTTCTTATAGTTGGTGAATGGCCTGGTCTCCTCCTGGGCAGCCTGGTGATACTGTTGTGGGCACATTCATGAACGGGCTCTGCTGGCCGTGTTGATTTGTTGCCTGGGTATATGGGCTACCTGGCTTTCTTATAGGTAATACTGATGTAGATAGACTGTCGTTTTCAGAGAGATCTGGGTTCGTACCATGTTCCACCATTTGGAAGCCCTTTGACCTTTGGCAATATACTTTGTGTCTCTGAGCCTCCAGTTTCTCTATCTGTATAATGGGACTAGCTCTCATCTCAGCGTCAGAAAAATAACCTCCTTGGGGCAGGGGCTGTGTCTGCTCCCCCATGCCCTCCCCACCTAGCAGAGAGCACACGGGAGCTCTCAATACACACTTGTGGGATTTGTAATGTATGAAAAGAGCCTAACACAGGGCCTGAAACGTAATAAACATAGCTTCCCTTTCCCTTTATTGTGTCTTTGTTTCTCCATCCTGCCCCGTCATCCTCACTTCCCATGGCAGGCCCTGCCTTTCTGCCTTCTTCCCTTCCCGCGAATTCTCCTGTGCATTGTTTTTAATTTCCCTACTGGAATTATAAGGAGCTCTGGTAGCATAGTGGTTGCAAATTGGGCTGCAAACCACAAGGTCAGCAGCTTTAAACTACCAGCTGTTCCGAAGGAGAAAGATGTGGCTTTCTGCTCCCATAAAGATTTATAGCCTCGGAAACCCTGTACAGAATCGCTATGAGTCGGAAGCGACTCCATGATGGCACATAACAACAACCACCAACTGGAACTATGTTTATGGGTCCAATTCAGTGGCATTAATTACAGTCATTTTAACCTGGTGGCCCAGTAGGGTAAACATCAGGCTGCTAACCACACATCAGCAGTTCAAACCCACCAGCTGCTTCCCAGGAGAAAGAAGATGCTGTCCACTCCTGTAAAGATTTACTGTCTGGGGAACCTTAAGAAACAGTTTTCGTCTGTCTTACAGGGTCACTGGGACTTGGTATCACCTCGACAGCAGTGGGTAGATTGTGTGCGTCCACTCAGCGCTGTCCGTTTCCAAAAGTTTTTCAGCATTCTAAACAAAAATTCCATGTCCCTTAACCAACACCTCCCCATCCCCTTCTTCCTGCAACCTTGGTCATTGCTGCTAAATGTTGGTCTCTGTGTTTGCCTATTCTAGGTGTTTTAAGTGAGATCATAGAGTGTGTATCCTTTTGTGTATGGCTTATTGTATCAGCACGATGTTTTCAAGGGTCATCCATGTTGTAGCGTGTGACTTCGTTTTCGCTTTACGACTGAAATACTCCATTGTGTGTTTGAACTACATTGTGTTTATCCATTCATGTGTTGGTGGGCATTTCGGTGGTTTCCACCTCTTGGCTATTGTGACTAGCCGCTGCAGTGAGCTTTGGTGTACTCCTTTTCTGTCTGAGTGCTTGCTTTTTGTCTTTGGAGTTTATTCCTAGGCGTGGCCTTGCTCCCCTGCTCACGGTGACTCTTCTGAGGGAGGCGGCTTTCCATCTTGTCGTTCTGCAGCCCTCGCTGAGGCGCTGGGTAAAGCTTTACTATCCTGCATCATTACCCAGCACCCCTTCCCGAGGACTAGCCCCTCCGGATGGGTTTCAGCTTTTCTTCATCTGATCTCATTTCTTATCCATGAAGCCTGTCTCTCGCCTGTGTCTGAGGCAGTCGAGGTGGTGGCAGGAGACTGGGGTCTGGGTGCGTCTCTCCCTCCCTGGCCGTGTAACCTTGGACTGGGGGGGGGGGGGGGGTGGCGGCGCATTGGCACACTTTATTCCTTCTGTCAGGCTCAGGCAGGCAGGCCGGAGGGGGTGGACTGCTGAGGAGGAGAGGAATAGGATTTCTACATTTTCTCTCTGTTAATCTCTGTCCCCATCTCCTCTCTTGCAGTGCGCCTCCATGACAGTATTTCTGAAGAAGGGTTTCACTACCTCGTGTTTGACCTGTAAGTGCCACTTTCTGAGGGTGTGGGAGCCTTTCCCTCCAGTTGGCTCAAGATGAAGCCTTGGAAAGCGGCCTGAGCCAGGCCTGCAGTCTGGGCTGAGGTGCTCTCTCCTTTGCCTGAGAGAAGGATTTGATTTTGAATTTCCTGGTAATGGGGGCTATGCCCCTAAGGGGGTCTCCTTGCTCCCTCAGTATGTCCTTGGAGCTCACAGTGTGCCTTGTACAGACGCTTTTTACTTGTTTCTTGGTATATTAACCTGGTGAGATCAGAGAACGTAGCTCTTTGTCTGACCTTAAAAATGCTAGGATATTGAAGGTAGCTTCTATTAGTTGTAAACGGAGTTTCAGTTGGTCTTTCCTCCACTTTGGTTGTGGCTTAATATATGACAAGTGGCTCTTCACCTCCTGGAATCTCCTTTGCAGTATTCCCAGAGCTAAGTCTCTGTGTCCTCGGTCTCATTGTTCTTCAACTTGAGGTGTCCTCCATGGGCAGCCTCAAAGAACAGTTACTACTTTCTGCATAGTTGGTTATTTTCTCTGCGATCTCCATATCTTTGTGTGTGCCTGAGTCGTAGATAATCTGCAGGTTAGAGAATACCGCTCAGAAGGAAGGGAGGCCCCATGTAATTGAAGGATCGAGTGTGTTCTGGGCTCTCAGATGAAATGTGTGTAGAGTTGGGGTTCCTCTATTAGGTATTGTACAGTGTGACTCCGTTACTTGGTTGGGTACTGGGGTGTAGCCGCCTGACACTGGCCTCCTCTGACCATCTTCCTATGTTGGTTGCAGTGTTACCGGTGGAGAGCTGTTTGAAGACATCGTGGCCAGAGAGTACTATAGTGAAGCTGATGCTAGGTAAGGCAAGGGGCCAGCCCGGATTCCATAAGGCCTCTGGGTCAAGTGTAGACCTGGGGTTTGGGATTGAAATAAACCTGTATCTCTGTAGCGGACTAGGCACCAATTTAAATCATCTGTGGAGAAGATTAGGAGAGTTCTTGTCTCGAGAAATACTCTGTAGAGTTGGATGGACCAGGACTGTCGTCTGTGGGCCATGTTGTGGTTGTTAAGTGCCGTTGAGTCAGTTTCAACCCACCGTGACCTTATAAAGAGTTTCCGAGCAGTGGCTGGTGGGTTTGAACTGCCAACCTTGTGGTAAGCAGTCCAGTGCTGATCCTACAGCGCCTTACCAGGGCCATATTGGAAGTTAAAATTCAGCACTCCAGATTAATTTTGACAATTCTTAAAAAGCTGCTTTACCCAGTCACCCCTAGAAATGCCTTTTCTTTCTATTCCTTTATATTCCTGAGAATGTCTGAAGCCCCTCCCTGCCCCCCCTATGCTTTTCTTTGAGGAGTTCTAATGGCAAGTCGGAATCCTGGTGTGGCACTGTGGTTTAATGTGCTGGACTGCAAAGTTGGTTTGTACTGCAGGGTCAGCGGTTCACGCTCACCAGCTGCTACTCGGAAACCCTATACAGGGTCGCTCTGGTTCGGAACCAACTCAATGGCAGTTAGCAACAACAACAAAGTGGCAGTTAGCAACAGTAACGGTACCAGGCACCGAGCTGAGGTGCTGGGGGTGACTTAGAGATGGAGAAAACATGGTGTCTGCCCTGAGGAGTGTAAATCTTTGGGCCTAGTGGTCCATCTGGAATCTTCTCAGATTTTTGCAGCCTCCATCACCTTGTCTCTTGACTACACCCATCCGCCCCAGCTCCCCCACGTGACACAGCAGAATTCCTCCACCCACAGCTCTCGGGTGCTAGCTTGGCCTGCCTTTCCCATCTCCGCTCCTCCCCCGTCCCCAGGTTTTCTCTGAGGGTGATGTCCTTACAACCTGGTTTGGATCATCCTGCCTGCAGCTTATCTGGCGTATGTGGCAGCTCTGGCTGTCTCTGGAGAGTGGGGGAGTGCAGCTTCCTCACGAATTTCTCAGCCCTGAGAGACCAGTGTTTGCTGATCAACTTCAGATGTTTCATTCAGCCTCAGGAAAAATTCTCAAGTGGGGAGATGAATTCCAGTACCAGCAGGGGAGGACTAACCCAGGGCGGGAGGAGCCATGGGGAGGACCGGGGCAGAAGGAGCCTAAAGGAGGCGTTAATAGCTCTAGGCCCCTGGGGGAGGTGACTGTACCAGTGGGCTTGGCCTGACTCTGCTGGGACACTTCACATTTTTGCCATTTTTGGCCAGAAAGCTCTCCCTGCTTGCCCGGCTCTGTTCTAATTATACATTTCTGTGGAGACTCGCCTCTCCGGCTCAGTCTGAAAGTCTCTGTGGCCCACTCTTCAGTTGTGTCCTATGAAGAGATCTGCGCCTTAGCTCCCAGGGGCTTGTGGGAGCCCAGCATCAGATTTGAGAGAAAGGAATAGTAAATCTAGACCATCTGATCCAGCATAACTAGATACCCTACCTATCTGCTACATGTACCCAGTAACTCCTGATGGGCTTGGGCCCATTCTCTAGGCATTTCAGGGTGTTTTGCTCTGGGTTAATGAGTTGGACTGTAAGGTCAGAGGTTCAAGCTCACCAGTTGCTCCTTGGAAACCCTATACAGGGTCACTATGAGTTGGAACCAACTCAGCGGCACTTAACAGCAACACGAAGCACCATCCCTGGTCTACCCACTTGGTGCCACCGCTAGATATGACAACCAGAGATATCTGCAGACATAGCCAACTGTCCACAGGCAAGGTTGTTGTTTGGCGGTTCAAACTGACTTTGTAATCCAGCACATTAACCCACAGTGCACACCAGGACTCCCTAGGCAAGGTAGCAGGAAACAAAATCCTTGTCCCCCTCCCCATACTGACCCCACTTAAAAAGGAGTGTTCTAGAAACTTCAGCACTCACTGCTGAACATTTGTGCTTCATGTGTAGCACAGTGGTTTAGAAAGTGGGCCACTTGAATCAAGAATCTGCCCCTCAATGTGACTCTGGGTTCATTTGTCTTTTTTCTATGCAGAAATATCATCAGAAATACTCAAGTACCCTGTCTGGATCTTCTTAGTGCATTCTTTCTTGAATCTGTGAATGTACTGTATATTTGTCTTAACCCACTGCTCTTTCTTGAATCTGTGAATGTACTGTATATTTGTCTTAACCCACTGCTCTTTCTTGAATCTGTGAATGTATATTTGTCTTAACCCACTGCTCGATGATCATTTTCAGGGCAGGCACTGGGTCTTGCTTGTCTTAATGTTGATGTTTCTATCTGGAGCTCCAAATGCAGTGCCTTATGGGCCCTCAGTAAATGTTTAAGTGAACATGTGAGCATACCAACCCCTACAACAGCACTGGTGCCTAAGTTGGCCTCTACTTCCTAAGTTGCCAGGCAACCACAAGCATCTTCTCCAAGAACACAGTTGTTGGGGAAAGAGAACCGAGGAAGGGTCTGGCTGTTCTTTCTCTCGTGTGTTTCCAGAGGCCTTGGAAACTAAGTGGTTATGTGGTTTCTACAGTCGGCAGGAGACACGGTTCAACCCTTGTTCTAGTCTAGCTGCCATTATCTAGAAGGTGACCTCTGCAGTGTCCAGGGTCCCTTGTAGCACATCATTCAGTGATTCCCTGTGAACCTGTGACCCGAGGTTACGTGCTCTAGTCTGTTGCACGTGGTCCTGGATAGATTGCGTTTCCTTGTCCTTTTTCAGCCACTGTATCCATCAGATTCTGGAGAGCGTCAACCATATCCACCAGCATGACATTGTCCACCGCGACCTGAAGGTATTTATGGACCCAGACACCCCCACCCTGGCCTCCGCTTGTGGAGCATTGGCACCACCTGGTGCCAGACAGTGGTATTACGTGGACCCAGACTAGGCTCCCTCTGGGCCTGGGCCCCAGGGTGGCTTCCTCATAAGATTCTCACTGTTCTTCTGCAGCCGGAGAACCTGTTGCTGGCAAGTAAATGCAAGGGTGCTGCTGTCAAGTTGGCTGATTTTGGCCTAGCCATTGAAGTTCAGGGAGAGCAACAGGCTTGGTTTGGTAAGGGTGACCCTGTCTTCCTGGAATGCAGCCCCCGCCCTTCCGCCTCTTCCTGATCAGCCTTCCTTTTACAGAACTAGAAGCCAGACCCTTGATGGTCCTGGCCTCCTCAGAGCCTGGAAGGGGGTGGGGAGGGTGCAGAGATCCCTCCTGACCTGATGTGACTCAGTACAATGAGTCTAGCTCTCATCAACACTGTGGCTCTGCATTCTGGGTACCTCTGGGGAGGCATTGGGAGTTCTTGGAAGGCGCGTGGACTTGCCCTCTGATTTGGATTCCAGGCAAGACAAGAGGCCCAGCCTGTCATCTGGTGCTGCTCGTGTGCTGAGAGCTTATAAGCAAAAGCAGCAGGAGGGAAAAAGGACTCAGGGGAATTTACTGATGGGGATTTAATGAGAGGGAACATGAGTTCAGTGTACCTCTGCCCTCTCTTCTGCTACAGGTTTTGCTGGCACCCCAGGTTACTTATCCCCTGAGGTCTTGAGGAAAGATCCGTATGGAAAACCGGTGGATATCTGGGCCTGCGGTAAGCTCATTCCACACGCTCAGCTTTTCAGTGTTAAGTGCTCTAGACATAGGTAATGATTAGCAAGAGGCATTACTATTCTTTGAGGGGCCCATGAGTGTCTGGTACTTCGAAATCATGGTGTTTGCTCCAGTGCCTTGGATGGCTGGTCTGTCACACCCATCACCCAAAAAGCTTCCTAAATTATGCTGAATCCTCTTTGGAGAAGGGTTTATCCATGCCCTCATGAATGGCTTGTGCTTGGAATAACTCCCTGAAGTGACCGAGGCTCATGGGGTGTGCAGCACAGCAAGAGGTCCGGGACACAGCATTGTCAGCCAGGCCCTGTTTCTAACTCTGGTTTGGCCCTTCATTTTGGGGGGGGGGGGGTGGTGGCTCTGAGCCCTGTGTGGCTCTTCTTGGTTCCTCAGGGAAGTAGGTGACTGAGCCTAGTGATCTGTGTGTTCTGTCTCATAGGGGTCATCCTATATATCCTCCTCGTGGGATACCCGCCCTTCTGGGACGAGGATCAGCACAAGCTGTATCAGCAGATCAAGGCTGGAGCCTATGATGTAAGGATGAGTTCACTGGAGAGCTGAACCACCAATGCAGAGAGGACAGAACTTCTGCACCTTGGGCCCTATCAGAGAAAGGGACAGTGTGTTTAGTGTGTGATGTGATACAGAGAGTGTTTGGGGGGTTTTGAGGATCCAAGGAGGGACATGCAGGGCTCAGTTCTTGCCACCCCCTGTACCAAAGAGCACAGGTTTTTACACGGCCTTTTCTTGGTAGCTGTAAAAATAAAGAGCCTGCTGGAGCCCATTCATCTGCTGTCTGCAAAGACTAGAGGGCAGCATGTTGTGCACTGACAGCGAAAGCCACGCAGGATGTAGGAAGAGCAGTCTGGAGGCCAGGCCACTGCGGTATCACATCACCCTTTCCTCCTGAATGGAGCGATGGGATTGAGCCAGAAGATGACAGAGGCCCCTTCCAGCTCTGCTCTAACATTCTGTCTTACAAACCCTGATTATTCTATCTTCCTTTCAGTCTTTAGGTTGGTATAAGTTCTGTGGAATTCTCAGGGCTTCTCCAGCTATCTGCAGGGCCGCTTTCAATGCCACAGGGTTGAGTCCTAGTTAGAAGAAAGAGTTGGGGTAAAGACAGAGCCTGCCTTTCAGGACATGAGGAGGCTCACACACTTTGTGTCCCTCCTCCCCCTGTTCCTGTTCCTGTTCCTTAGTTTCCATCACCCGAATGGGACACAGTGACTCCTGAAGCCAAGAACTTAATCAACCAGATGCTGACCATCAACCCAGCAAAGCGTATCACGGCTGACCAGGCTCTCAAGCACCCATGGGTCTGCGTAAGTATCTTTGTCTGGGGTAGAAGGAATTTGGAATGCTAGCCCTCACTACACCATCCGTACCCTCCTTTTTACAAGCACAGAATCCTTCTAGGTTTTGAGGGAGGACCCAACAGAGAGGGAGGAGAATTGAGTGAGGCCCAGGGTCACTAGGTGTCACCAGAAGGGACTCAGGAAGGGCAGTGGGGCTCACAGGCCTCGACCCATCCCTTTCCTACTCACTGTTGTGATTTCATTTTATGCTGAATGATGACTTAGGTTGACGCTCACGGACTCTGTACATAGTTGACAGAAAGAAGGTGGCAGAACCAAAGTGCATTCCCAAGTGCAGGGAGAACACCCAGCTCTCCCCTCTCACAGCCTTAATGTGACTGTGGCGAAGACCCAGCAAATCAGCAAAAGAGTCCTCTGAGCATCTCGAAGCTTGGCCTTAAAGCTCAGGTGCTGAATCCCTAGGAGACCCCCTAGGTTATCAATGTAGGTTGATAAACTCTGTTTCCGTGCACATACGTGCTTTCAAACAAGAGGGTCTGCTGCAGATAGACCTGCTGACAACCTGAATGCATTTACTTGTTTGTCCTTCTCCGTGTGTATTGAATTCCTCCTTGGTGCTGCGCATCACACTGGGTAATGGAGATACGAAAATGAATGAGGCATGGGCCCTGCCCCTAAAGACCTCAGAGATCACCAGAGGAAACAGATAACGACTCTACAATGTGACAGGATTCTAATAAGAACGTAGCAGCACCCCCTGTTTCTGGTGGACAATGAGCTTACTGAAGGCTGTGTGGAGGAGCTGACCTGGCATGGGTCTTGCAGATGAATTCGAGTCCCCTTGAATGGTAGTCATTGACAGAGGTTAGCACGTGCCACTGTGAGTGGCCATAGCAAACTGTGGCATGTTTAAGGAAAGTTCAGTTGGTTGTAGATTAGTATGTGACTATAGGATTGTAAAGATCATGAGGCCAAAAAATTCTGTTACATGCAGGCTTCTGCCTAAGGAGTTTGGCTTTTCTTCTGAAAGGCTAGGGAATCGATGAAGAGCTGTAAAGAGGAAATGGAATTTGCGTTTAGGAAAGATTGCTTTTTGGACTAGGAAAATGAAATAGAAGAATACAGAGGCTAGCAGTAGGAAACTCAGAAAGCTGTTGTAATTATCAAAGTAAGAGCACATGAGGTCTGTAGCCAAGGATAATGATGAGGTGTTGTGGTGAGGGGTGGACAAATCCAAGAGAGATTTGGGAGGTAGAACTGAAAGGATTTAGTGACCAGTTTGATTTGGGGAGTGAAGTGAAGGAGAGAGACTTTTTAACTAGGCTGTCAGAGTGGAGGGTTATTCTTCTCGCTGGTAGAAGAAATCCAGGAGGAATAGCTGATTTGTGAGGAAATTTTGTACCTGCTGCATGAGATGGCGAAATCAATGGACAGCTAGAAACCTGACCCTACAAATTATTGTTGTTTATTGGTGTCAAGTCAGTTCTGACTCGTCATAGCCTAGTATGGGGTTTCTGAGGAAGGGCTGGTAGATTTGAACTGCCGATCATGTGGTTAACAGTCCAGTGCTTATCCGACAATGCCACACCAGGAGATTGGTAGTGGTTGGTGATTGTGTGACATGAAGTCACTTCCAACTCATAGCGACCCTGTACAGGGTTTCCAAGGCTGTAAATCTTTACGGAAGCAGAACGCCTCATCTTTCTCCTGCAGAACTGCTGGTAGTTTCAAACTGCAGACCGTGAGGTCAGCAACCAGAGTTCCTTGTCCTAGAGATTAGAAGTTAGAAATTGGAAGTACAAAGGGGCTTCAGAAGGTTATGGAAAAATTGGATGAAAAGATAGTGAAATTTTCCCATAAACTTTTCTTAATGTTTTATTGTGAATTATGTGATAGTTTACGTGGGAGAACATTAGTTTTACATTTATCCTATCGTATATTGTTTCATTGCTATGGTTACAGTCCCCTCCATGCATCATCAACCAACCAAAGGGTATATACTACAAGCCTGCCCCCCGGTCATCAGCACACAGCCCCTCTCCCTTTCTGTATCTAAAGTCCCCAACAGCTCCGTCTCTCCACGTCCTCGTCTCTGCCTCCATCTCAGGCATCACTGCTTCTCTGGGTAGGGTCCCGCTCTCTGCTGTTTTCCCTTGATGGTCCTAGGGATCTCCGCTCCTAGGCTGAAAAGTTAATCACTCCCCTCCTTGCTACAAAACGTCTTCCTTTACCTTTCCAACCCTTACAAGCAGTCCTGATAACAATTAATCACTGTTGTATCACAAGAGACCCATCTGCATTTCATTTTATCAGCCCTGCCTAGACAGATTGTATACTACTTCCATAAACTTTTGAAGCCCCTTCATACAGATTATGGTCATTCGTTCCTATACAGATGGTGGTGATCCTATAGAAACAGAATGGGTTCTGTGCTGATGGAATTCTTACAAGCTCATTTTGAATGCTTCAGTCAGAGAAGAACTGGTTAATAAATACCATTTAATGACAGGGAGGGGTTTTGGTATGGCACTGCAGGTTAAAGTGCTGGACTACAAGGTCAGTTTGAACTACATGGTCGACATTTCAAGTTCACCAGCCACTCCTCAGAAACCCAGTACAGGATCACTATGAGTCATGGCTGACTCAACGGCACTTAACAACAACAGTGACAGGGAGAGGTATAGGCACCCGAAACGGGGACTAAAGATGAAAAGATCCATGGTAAGAGGAGACTTGGGATTAGGAGCTTCCAGACCCTGGAAAACTGGAGATTTTAGTAAGGGGTCAGCCAGGTGCTACAGAGTCTACAACAAATATGGGAAAGAATCCATTGACTGAGTTCATTGGAGGACAGTGTTTCAATTGCTCAGTGGTAGAAACATTTTCCATGACATTCCTGTTTTCATAGAGGGATGAGGAGAGGAGCATGTAGATTGCACTTTCAGAAAGCTAGAAGGTGATGGGCGGAAGGGATGGTATTAGTTGGAAGAGGATGGATCAAAGGAGGGTTTTTTTGGTGGATTGTTGATTGGTTTTGTTTTTGTTTTGATAAAGAAAGTCCTGACTATACTGTGTAAACCATAGAGGAGAATCTAGTATGGGAGAAAAAGCTGAACATACTGGCTCCTTGAGGAAGTGAGAGTTTGACTGTTGAGAAAAGCAGGGACTTCTGTGTACAGGTAGAGGCTCATACTTGCTCAGGAGTGATGGGTTTAAATGCAGAGGGCAGTCAGTTTTTGGTCCAGTCTGTGCTTATTTTAGTGGCTTCTTGTTGGAAAAGTTTACATTGAGGAGAAGAGTGAAGTGGACTTAGGGAAGCTAGAGAAGACTGGGGCAGTTACTTTGGGAACCACGAAGGGGAGTGGACCAGGGATTCAGGTAAGATCATTAAGTAGGGTTGGAGGCACCAGAATTGGAGCTGATTTTTCTAGCAGGCTGGCCAAGACAACTCACTGCAAAGGGAGGGGTGAGCAACTGAAAATGGAGAATTGAGTATTTGGGGGTCATTTTTGTGGCTTGCACCTTCCAAAATCTCAGTAGCCCCTGAGGACCTCACTGTATTATGACATAATCATTGATGCTTGTGTTGATGACCCTGAAGTCATCAAGGAAATGTGACCTATGTCCAGTGGACTCTGTTTAAGGAGACAAGGAAGTTAACCCTAGATAGATACGTTGAAGAAATGTTGTTATGCGCCATTGAGTCAGTTCCGACTCATAGCGAACTCTGTATAGGGTTTCCAAGGAGTGACTGGTGAGTCTGAACCAGCAACCTTGTGGTTCAAACTGGCTTTGCGGTCTAGTGCTTTATCCCACAGCACCACACCAGGACTCCATTTCTTCTCAAATGATCCTCCTTAGCTTCTCAGATCACAGCTTCATTCCAGACCTCGTACGTGTGCATTGCGAGGGGCTCTTGGAAGGGACAGATGGTTCTCTGTAGAAAGCAGGAATCCTGCCCATCTTCTCATAGCTCAAAATCTGGAACACAATAGGTGCTCAGTAAACAGGAGCCACTGAATAAGCAGCACAGCGCACAGGATACTCGCTCTGATTCCCCAGGAAATCAAATGCTCTCTCAGGCACCAGCCTCTGGCATCAGTTATCAGTGGTGGTTTAGTATTCACATCACTGTCCTTACATCACCCCGAGTTTTGGTTGGTGCTTTTATCGTAAAAGCATTTTCACTTGTATGAGCTCATTTTCTTTCTAGAGCAACTCTGAGGTGGCGGGTGCTAGCTGAGTGTATGGCCCCATCTTAGGCACACCCATCAGTGCTGGGGACATAGGGAGGGGAGAGGGTCTGGGCTGGGGGCTCACAGGCCTGTTTGGTTTCCAGCAACGATCCACGGTGGCGTCCATGATGCATCGCCAGGAGACTGTGGAATGCTTGCGCAAGTTCAATGCCCGAAGGAAATTGAAGGTGAGTCTTGCCTTCTGCCCCTCAGTCTCCTGAAATCATGCCTTCAGCCGTGCATCCCCTGCCCCAAAGCCCTCATGTCTTCTGGCACTAGCCGGGAGCTGCTTCGGCCCCACTGATGGAACACAGTGGAATTCACAGGACCCTCCTCTTTCCTCAGGGTGCTATCCTGACGACCATGCTTGTGTCCAGGAATTTCTCAGGTATGTTTCCCCAGCAATGCATTTTCAGTCCTACTGAGGTGAGTGGGTCAGGAGGGAAGTGTTGTCGTCTCAGGCAACACGGGGTGTCCTGGGCAGCACCTTGGCCAGGATAACTGAGGCTTCTGAGTTACGGGGCTACTCCTACTGCTGCTGAGTCCTGTAACCTGAGAGTCTGTGGGGCCTTTGCTTGGGTTCAGATTTAGAAATACTGTTCCCTACACCCTCCCAAGGAGTAGCCTGCTCACCTTCAATATGTCTCTGCGATTTCTAATTTAATTCTATGAAGACTCATCGCATTTTGAGATTTTTAGTGCGTTCAGGGTATCAGAGGATGTGCTGGGGTAAAAGCGAAGGTGTTGTGGGTTTTCTTGTCTCCACCATTCATTTGCTGATTGGGACAACTCAGACTTCACTGTATCCAAGCAGAGATGACAAATAGAAATTATTCCAGCAGTTTAAGCCTTTTACACAGATTTTGCTTAAATACTTACTGTAATAACTAGCCATGAGTTTGAAGACAGAGACCAACAGGAGGGAAAGGAACTTGCTTCAGTTTGCATGAAGTATTGGGGAGTTGGGAACCACTGATTCGGAAATCACACTTGACATTTCTTTTCAAGATGCAAGACACTCCAACTCCCCCTCCTCCTCACCCCACCCCCACCCCTCCAATCGTGTTTGCTCTCACTTGGGAAGCTCAGTGGGTTTCCTTTGAGGAAACGATTAATGTCAGGACTGAGAACAGAGAGGTCCTTTCTGACTAGCTGTTTCACCACCTACCCTTACCCCCCTACCTTGCTGTTTTGGATCCAGGATCCCCTTCTCTGATTCTCATAATGAGACGTTTCCTCTGTACTGTCATGGAGTGGGAATTGTTTGGGAGTGCTAACTACCTCTGGGCAGAGATTGCCCCTTAAATCTGAGTCCCAGTGGGGGATGGTCTTTGCTAGTTCTGAGTAACCCAAGAGCCTCTGGCTTTTAGGATGCTGCAGGCAAGAAGACCCTGAGCTTCATGAGCTCTAACTGAGGAGTCCAGGGCTCTGGAGACATCAGGACTGGATAGTGAGGCCCTGTGACCCGGCCTTGGGAGTGTCTTTTGTTGTGGGAGCCTTGGACGATGCAGTTGTGATTCTCGATTCACTTCTCACAGATCAGGAGTCCTGACCACCACCTCCATTAGAACTGTAGTGCCACTTCTTGCTACTTGTCCCCTAACTACGTGCAGCTTTTACTTTCTTGGTCTAAGAGCCTGTCTAGAGGACACTCAGGGGCATTTCTGTGCTGACCCTTGACCAGTGGTCTATCATCTCTGAGTAGAAGAAACATGAAGACTGACTACTGCTGCCTTTTCAGCCTGGGAACCCGTGATGTAGGGCTTTTCTGGTGCCCACCACATTATTCCTCACCCCCATTTTCAGGAAACCTGAATCCTGGTTTGAACTCACTTTGTCCTGGGTCAGAGGACTCTGTTGTGGTCCTTCTTGTGCTCTGACTCGGGGACAGTGAAGATAGAGCCTGCCTTGAGAAGCGGGTGTCTACGGAAAGAGGTGCAGAGGTGCAGTGTGTTCTCTTTTGGGATAAGCTAGGCTTGTTTCTTGAGTTGGCCCCAATTAGTCATACAGCTTGGGAGTTCCTGGGTGACATAAATGGTTAAGTACTCAAATGCTAACCAAGTACTCAAATGAACCCACCAAGAGGAACCTCAGAAGGAAATACTGGAGCTCTGCTTCCGAAACATCACAGCCATGAAACCCTATGGGCACAGTTCTAGTCTGCGCAAATGGGTCCCCTTGATTCGGAGTGCTTGATGGTAACTGGTTTAGGTTTAGTTTTGGGTTTTGTTTGTTTTTGTTTTGGTTAGGGAGTGCAGCTTAGCCCTGGACTTTAGCAGCTTGGCTTATGGTGAAATCAGGGCTTCTAGAACTGTTTGCTTCAGCAGCCTTCGTTTTCTTTCTGAGGGCTCATTTCCGGCTTCTGTGCTATCAGAACACTGAAATATGGGCTATGAAAAACTGCTTCTCCCCCACCTCCCGTGAGAAGGGAAAGAGGCCTGTGTCTCTGTGGAGCTGGGGTCACGGACCCTCCCTGGACCACGAGTACGGGTCTTTCTGCTGAATGTGGCAGGGGAAGGACTCCTCTCTGCTGTCTGCTCTCTCATTCAGATCCTTAACAGGGAAGGGCTGTAGGTGAGGCTCACCTTTCTCACAACCCTAAGCTAGAGATGGGCCACCTCAGAAAGGGCGCTGGGCTCTTAACCTGTTGACTTAGCTGAAGTGGTTGTGGAACGGGAGCTGCGGCCACGTCCACCAAGTGGAGTGGTGGTGTTTCCTGTGCCCCGTCAGAGCCCAATTCTCTCAGGCCCCCAGACTGCTGCAGGGCTGGCTGCACCTGCCTCACCAGCCTGCCCCCTCTGGCGCCTCCGCTCCCCCAGCTTGGCTGGCTTGGCCACGCCACCTGGGCCCTGCTGTGCGTGGGCGGCCAGCGGGTCCCTGAGCCTCATGCTGGGGCATGCTCGCTGCTGACTGGCCCCTGTGGCTTTGCGGCAGCTCTGTGCACTGAGAGATTGTATCCCCTCAGTTGGCAGGCAGAGCTCCGCCCCCGCCTCGCCTGCCGCGAGCGCCGCCGGCCTGGCCGGGCAAGGTACGTGGCATGAGTCCTCCCCGACCGCCTGTCTCGGCTCCCTGCCACCCCACCAGGAGGGCCAGCATGCCAGGCCCACTCACCAGGGAGGCCAGTCCCCTGCTTGCGAGCTGAGATGGGCATGCCCGACGGATGACCTAACTTGGCATCTGCAAGCGCATTGATGTTACGAAGCCCCTAACCAGCCATGCATGCTGGGCGCTTGCCAACTCTCAGGAGGCAATGGCCTGGGGGACGTGGAGCTGGACGACAGGAGAGCTTTCCTCTAGCTGAGAGCCCGACTTGCCTACAGAGGGCCGCAGTAGACTGCAGCCTCCCAGAGACAGCCCTGGGCATAGCCTGGAGCTGCCCATTGCTAGGAACAGGCCTCATCAGACTCCATAGAGGAAGTCGAGCCCCTCAAAATTGTGACCACTTGTGTTTGCAGGATTGGGAGATCCTAGAGTGTGGTAGCTTTGGAGTCAGCCCTCCTGGGTTTGGGTCTCAGCCTTGCCACCCCTGAGCACCTCACTGTGCTCTCCCAGCCTTAGTTTCCTCACCTATCCAATGGGATTAATGAATCACAGTGGTGATGCTTAAGAGCTCATGTGCCGAAGGCTTTCAGCCTTGACTATGCTGAAGAATTAGTGATCTGGGAGCTTGTAAAATAATCCTGATGCCCAGACCCCATCGCAGACAAATAAACCAGGAACCTTGGAGGTGGAATAGGCAGAAGCATTTTGTTTTCCATCTCCCCAGGTGATTTGGCAAATGCGTGAAAAGCACTTACTTAGTATAGTAAGTGGTCAGCACCCTTAAAAGAAAATGTTCCCAATCACCCAGTGTGATAGAGGCCTGTTCCTGGAGATAGATGCCTAAGGACATTTTTGGAGTCAGGATTCTTGTGATAAAGGACTCCGTTCTCACTGGAGAGAGAGATGGGGCACAGCTTGGGGTAGGACTGGCCACATAAAGAGAAGAATGATGGTACCAATAGAGACGACAACAGTTTACGGTTTTTGAGCACTTGCTACATGCTAAGCATTGGATTCCCGCCACTACCCTGTGACCTAGGCCCTGTTTAGCCCCCATTTTATAGGTAAGGAAATTAAGGTTCAGAGAGATTAACTAACTTAACCCAAGGTCATACAGTTGGCAAGTGGTAGAACCAAGTTGAGACAAACCCAGAGAAGTCCAAATGAATCAGATAGTTTTCATTTCCCTGTGTGTCCCAGGGATTCCTGGGGTGGCACTATAGGATAAGTACTGAACTGCTAACAAGGTTGGCAGTTCAAACCCACCTGTCGTGCCTCGGAAGCTCTATACAGGATCTCTGTGACTCGAAACTGACTTGACAACACTTAACAGCAACATGCCCCCCATATTCTCCCACCCACTATCTGCTGCCCTCCTGTGGTCTCTGTGGCCAGCTGGTACCACAGTCTCAAGAACAGAGCTCATCAACCATGAGCCTCACACCTTGTGCCCGCGGGCATCTGTTGGACATCTTGTTATTCTGCCCACTCCTGCCTGCTCATGGGTCCAGAGAACGGGCTCAGAAAAGGGCAGTGAGTTAGGACCCAGTAAACCTAGTGAGGACCTGCCCCGTCAAGGCTTCAACCCCCTGGCGAAACCCTCCTGTAGGTGGTCCTGGTCTCTGTGTCTGTGTCTGTGTGTCCTCACGTCTGGTCCCCTCGTGAACTGTGACACTGTTTCTTGAGAACACTCAGGAGATGTCTTGCATCCTTCCAGCTTGACCATCCTGAAGATCTCCATGGCGTTAGGGACTGAGCCTTCACTCTTTCATCCAACACTCTGCTTCGGCCTGGGTTGGAAGCTGTTGAAGGCAGAGTCCCCAGTGTCCCAGGCAGCTCCAGTAATGAGCACGGGTTTCTTCCCCTAAGTGTGTCCCTGTTTCAGCCTAGCCCTCTTCTGTGGCAGAGGAGCATTGGCACCCAGGAAATCCTGGGCATTGCCTTGAAGGCGCTGATGTCACTTGAGACACCCTTCTTGCAGTGGGGCCTCTTCCAGAGGCAGAACAGATGCTATGCCTTCTCGAGTTCACCCAGTGGGTCCAGACACCGCAGTCTGGCCCCCTTGTCAGACACCCCGTCTCTTGAGGACCTGGCTACTGGACTTCAGGTTGGGGAGAGGGTACAATGTGGGAGACTTGATTTTCCTCTTTGTTTTCACAGCTGCCAAAAGCCTATTGAACAAGAAGTCAGATGGCGGTGTCAAGGTAGGAGTCAGTCCCCCTCCTGCCAGAGCCTGGCCTCTCTCCCTCTCTCTGTCTCACAACAGGCACCAGGGGAAATTCTTGGCCCTACCTTTGCTGTTTCCCTGGGAACCTTCCTATCCTAGCTGTTCTGCTTTAAACCAGAGTCTTTGTGCTTCAGAACAGCAGGTTCCACTGGCCTGCAAGGGAAGAAGGGCAAGGTGTTTCTCCCCACCCTAGTTGGATCAGAGGACTCAGGGGAAGTGACCCAAGTTACAGAGCTGAATCCTGAGCTTGACTTCCAGACCCATGCTTGTCTCCAGGGTTCCAATGCTCTGTATTTTAAGTTATTTGGTTGCCCCCTTCCCCACTTTTTTACAGCATCAAATTCATTTTCTAAAAAAAAAAAGGCAGTTTCCCTGGTTGACCATGGCTTGGAACCTCAAGCCACTACCCTGTTGGCCTTTTCCTTGTCCCCAGAGCGCCTCCAGACCCAGTTCAAACACCCTGGAGCAAAAGTTTTATATGCTTTCTGAAGACATAGGCTCCTGAGAGACATGGTACATCATGGCATGTCCTCACTGGGTGAAGGAACTTTTCCTGTGGGATCAGAACAAGAGGAGGTACCAGGAGCCTGCAAGGACCAATAGAACGCTCCAGAAAGAGCGGCTGGTCATCTAGCGGGGGAGAAGGGGCTGCATGGAGTGACACACAGGTGTTCTGTGGCTGCTTTGGGGCAGAAAGGGAACAGTTCCTAGAGCCGGGACATTGGGTAGCAGGGTAACATCTTAAAGCCTACCAATTTTTACACTGTAGAGAATCTTGAACCTTTAAAACTTCAACAAAAGTTAGCGAACTGGACTTTTCCCTAGGATCTTGTGTCCACAGCTGAGATGCACTGTGTACCCCTTTTCCTTCCTTCACCCCATCCTCTCACCCACATTCTCTCTCCTTGCCTGTTTCTGTGTACCTCTGCCCTAAGGGCTCTGCACATACCCTCCTGACATGGACTTGGGGCTGATGGGTGTGAGTGAGTTCTTCAGGTAAAAACCACATTAGGTAAAAGGAGCAGGTTTAGTTGCAGAGAGAGTTTGGGTATTTCTATTAGGGAAAAGAAGCCAGAATCAATCATTACAAAGTATTGAATGAGTGCTTTTCAGAGGCCCGGTGCTGAGCTCAGTAGTGAAGAGCCTCCAATAGGAGGTTAAGAGTACATGTCCCATCTGGCCTAAGGAGGTTACAAGATAAATGGACATACTTGGTATAGGCCTAGCCCTAAATGGCATATCATTCTGCACCCTGAGTGTAATGGTTCAGTCCAAGAAGCTTTTGGGATACATTTATTGGGGCAAGCTTAAGCGAAGTAGGAAAATTTGAACCAAAACAGTGATTACTTCTAGGGAATGGGTTTGGAGATGAGGGCAGAGCAGTATGGGGAAGTACATCTATCATTTAAGTTTAAAGTTATTTTTTTTTAGTTAGATTAAAATTCAAAATCAGTGAAAATATTCTTAAGGACTCTCTGGTATGTATTGATGTTCTCTGCTTAACGGGGACATGGTTTGAAATGTGTGACTACACAGGTCTGTCGAGCAGAGGAGACAGAGTTTTATATGCAGAGACCACACATAAGAGTAATATTTTTAGAAAGATTTGGCTGAGGGTACAAGGGCAAATATAAAAGGAACAAACTAGATGAGAAGATATCAGTTAGGAGTTGATGTAATCTGGGTGTAGGGTGGACAGAAAAGGTGATTAGAGATAGAAAGGGATCATATTCAAAATACTTAACCCCCAAGAAAGCACATGGTTCCTCAGAGCAGGTGCTACCAGTAAGCAACCAATCCAGCTCTACCCAGGAATGCTGGGACTATCATCCCTATAAGAGATGGAGCAAAGGAAGTTTACATTGCGTATGGGGAATTATAAAAAGGAGCCATCCGTGATCATGGCAATGTTTTTGTCTAGAATGTTTGCAGAATGGTGGTGTTTTGGCTAGAAATGGGAGCAGTTTGTGAAGGAATGCCCATTAAGTGGGAAAAGTTGTGATTGAGAAAAAGATGGACTATCTAAATGGAGGTGTCTTTGAGGCCCTGGGAGATTCCTGAGGTCAACACTAGAGATGTAGGTTTGGGAATCACATGAATGAATCTTATGAGTTAATTCACTCAGTCAACATTTATTAGATGCCTGTGGTGCTCCAGGAGCGAGGAAAACATAATCCATGTCTTTGAGGTGTTCACAGTGGAAGAAAGACAAGGAAATCAACAGGTTCAGAGTGTCCTAATAAGGTCTCTGAGAGAGGTGTGTACTGGGAAGGTCCTAGGGGAGAATAGAGGAGCCTGTGAACCAGAACAAGAAATTGAAGTGAAGGTGGTGGCCCATGAGTTTGATGGGCTAGTTGGATTTTGCCTAGATAAGTGGGAGAGGGAAGAGGGAAGGCTGTGTTAGGGAGAAGGGACAGAGCATGTGTAGATACACAAGTATGCAACAGTGAGGTGATTCTGGGAACTTCATCCATTTCTATACGGCTAAAGGAACCCCATCCACTTGTGAAGATCTACTTCTTGGGAGTCCTGGTGTGGTGCTGTGGGTTAATGTGCCAGACTGCAAAGCCGTTTGAACTGCAAGGTCGGCAGTTCAAGCTCACCAGAAACCCTATACAGGGTCCCTATGGGTCAGAACCTACTCGACGGCGCTTCACAACAACAACAACAACGAAGGAATCCCAGGGTGGTGCAAATAAATAATTTGTGTGCTTGGCTGCTAACTGAAAGTTTGGAGGTTCGCGTCTACCTAGAGAGGCACTTCACAAGAAAAGCCTGGTGACTTCCTGTCAGCCATTGAAAACCCTGTGGAGCATTGTTCTACTCTAACACACGTAGGGTCGCCAGGGGTTGGAATCAGCTGCATTGTAACTGGTTATATGACTGACAGGAAAAGTGAGTTCATAAGGTAGGCCCCAAACTAAGCTAATGACAGTTGAGCTGGAGGGGAGAGGATGGATAAAGAAGTCATTAAGGCATAGTCTTCTTTAGCAGAACTTTCTAGATGCTAGTCCCAAAAATTAACATAAGGCCCAGACATATAGGTTTTCATACATAACTATTAGGAGCTCTGGTAGCATAGTGGCTACAAATAGGGCTGTGAACTTTAAGGTCAGCAGTTCGAAACTACCAGCCGCTCTGTGGGAGAAGAGGCTGACAAAGGCAGAATTTGGTGATTATCGATTAATGGATTGCAAGAAGAGGAATCAGCAAAGGAAATGGAGAAAGAACTGAGAAGTAAGATAAGAGTCAACATGTATAAACATTATCAGATCTTAATGGTAGCTGAGAAGGATGAGAGCTGGAAAAACAATTACTAGACAGTTTTTTCTTAATTCTGGTAAATGTTGTTGTTAAATACAATTGAGTCGGTTCCGACCCATAATGACCCTGTAGAGAGTTTCTAAGGAGTGGCTGTTGAGTTTAAACCGCCAACCTTACAGTTCAAACCAACTTTGCAGTCCAGCGCATTAACCCACAGTGCCACAGCAGGGCTCCACACCAGGATGAATAAATAGGTGATAAAATATTTGTCATTTCAACAATATTCACATGTACAGTTTAGTGACATACATCGTGTTTATCAGGTTGTTCAGTCATTATCCTTATTCATTCCCTGATTTGTCCATCATAGATAAAATGTTTCAGATGAGAAAATATGTGGGGGACCCAGCCCACTTCCTCTTTCCCCCATCCAGTCCTTATAGGAAGCAGTTGAAAGACTCAAGTGAATGCATCTTCTTTTTCATGGGACACAGGGCACCAAGGGGAACACAGCCGCCTGGGTTTGACCCTTGTATGTACTCAGTAAATGGGAGTTTCCTGTTGTGTACTTTTGAGAAGAGTTTTAATATAATGGTGGGACCAGGAGCCAAAGAGTAAGTATTTAAGAAGGGAATGGCTAGCTAAAATTTAAAGACCAAAAGCAGACAGGCTGAGGGAAATATTCACAGAAGTTAGGAGGGGGAGGGGGGGAGGTGAGGTTAAAGTTAATTTTATACAAAGAGCTCTTTCTAATAAGAATCTCTCCAAAACCCAGCACATAAATGAACAAAAAAGATTAACTACAATCTGAGAGAGAGGAAGTCGAACTGGTTAACAAATATGGAAAAATGTTTGCAAAGAACTGCAAGTCAGAGGAGGTGGGGGAGCTTGGAAATACAAGATGAAACAAGGTGCATCTTTTTGACTCTTCCTTCACTGATGATCCTATGACGTGGAATGGGCCTCTCTAAAACAGCTTGTGTATCAAAAAGCCATAAAAAAATGTTCTGCCTTTTTTACCCTGTAATTCTACCTCTGGGAATTTCTCCTAAAGAAATCATTCAAAATATGAGACCACTGAAAGCTAAAGATGTTGAGCCTAACAATTCTAACAGACAAGCCTAAAGACAATCTAAAGAGCCAATGTCCATTTACCAAGAATATTCATTGCTATATCATAGTGATGTGAGAAGTTTTATATTAAGTGAAAATGTGAGATACAAAGCAGTATATACAATCTAGTCTAAACTTTGTTTTTAAAACGATGTATTAGTATACCCATACTCAGTTAAAAAAGAATTGAAAGAAAATTTGCTGAAATATTAATAATAATTTCACTGGCAACAGGAATTTGGGATGTTTTCTTTTAAACATTTTTCTGCGTTTTCTACATTTTTCACCTAGAGCATGTATTGTATAATCAGACTGAATCTCAAATTACTGTTTTTTTGGTTTTTTTCCAAAAAGCAAAGTATGAACTTGTACATCGTCATAATGTTGTGTGTCGTAAGGTCAGTTCCAACTCAGCACCCCTGCATAGGGTTTCTAAAGAGCGCTGGCGGGTTTGAACCTCCGGCCTTGTGGTTAGCAGTCCAGTGCTTATCCTATAGTGCCACACCAGGATTTATAACTTATAAAACTAATTTTTAATTGCATAAGTAGAAAAAATTGATGAAAGTGATAGAATTGTGAGTGCCCCCACTTTCCAAATGACTTGTAATGTGGTTGCTTTCTTTATAGAATCGGGAACATTTATATAACATAGGCATGGTTGGTTGAAGGTGTCAAAGAAAAAACAGGAAGGATAAAGTAAGATGTGTTCTCTTGAAAGCTCAGGTGATGGTCTCTGTTCTGACCTGTGGCATTGCTCAGAGGATACTGACCTGTGTAGGCATCCTCAGTCCTTCTTTGTAGATCACCTTCCCTTCCTGAATCTCCCCCTCCACACAAACACATTTCTTTCTGCCTGAATGTTTGAAGGAGCCCAGGTGGTACAGTTATTAAGCACTTCGCTACAAATGGAACTCAGCAGCCCCTCAGAGGAAGAACTATGTAGACATCTGTTTTCAGTATAGATTACAGCTCTAGAGACCCAGGGGGCAGTTCTCCTCTGCCCACTATGAGTTGGAATCAGCTCAGTGATAATGGGGTTTTGTTGTTGTTGTTTTAAGTGTTCTTTGGGAGGCTTCTTTCTCACTGTTCAACAGATTCTTCCTGCAAGATGCTAGGTATATTAGCATTGGTTTGAACACCTCGTTTACCTTGCACCTTTTTTTAGTTTGGAAACTTGGGGTTCTGTTTCGTTTTCTTTGGATACCAGGGACCCAGGATCTGAGAGAGCTACTTGTGAGGTCAAGACTTAAGGTGCTACAGAATCTCAAGTCTCCAGAGGGAGACCCATAGTCTAGAACAACTTGTGCCTTCTGCTGATCTTTTTAATAAAATTAATAAGGAAGGAAAGCAACAGAGAAGAAAGGATATAGTTATCCTCTTAAGTATTGTTTAAATTTATAACTCAATGGAGGCTTGAACCCTTCCTAATATGTCTCATTTACTTTATAAATAAAGTTTAAGTTTTCAATTCATTTTTAAATAAAAGCGAGATACAAGTCTTTAAAACTGATTTCATATTCCAGCAGTGCTACCTGATTAGGAGCCCAGCTGTGTATGGTTGAGGGCAGAAACCTGAAAGAAGAAGAGTTGAAAGCCATCCACAACGTTTGATTGGTGATTATAGATGGTTTTCTTGCAGGACAGTTTAGTAAAAAGCAAACCAACAATGAGAAAATTGGGAACACATTCTCTATTAAGTTGACAAGCAGATAGCTGAAAAGTCTAATGCAAGGTCCAGGGGAAGGCCATCTGCATTGACCTTTGAAGCAAACCCTGAAAAGCCACCAAAGCCAATATTGAGCCTGGCCAGTGCCCCAGAAGACTAAGACTGAGGGCAGGTTAGAAGCTTGTACTGTGCTTTAGCCTGGGGAAAACACCAGAGCCTGCTAACCATTTAAGCTCAGCACACATTGTTACTTAACCATCTGCTTAGATGGTACGTACATGAATGTAAGGCAACTTGCTCTTTTCTGACGGATACTTCAGAGATAAAATCTCGTACATGGGCATATATGAAAAGGTAATACAAACAGTACCTAATTATATTTAGGTGTTTCTTTAAATCTGTGCCATTCTTATATTTGTTGTTCTCTTAAACATAGCTCCAAAAACTGTCTTCTAAAGTAGAATGTCAGCTTTCTGAAGACAGTAACATGTATCTGATGTGTTCGTTGCTATATTCCCAGTGGCTGCAGCAGCCCTCAGTATGTTATGGATGTTATGGATGTTATGAAATGCATATACATAAGTCAAACCATAAATGGAATGTTCCACAGGGAGTTTTTGTCTCTGAGAGCTGATCATAAAGTTCTGAGCCTTTCTCCTCCTCTAAAGATTTTGTTGTTAAGTGCCTTGGAGTCAGTTTTGACTCCTAGTGACCCTGTGTCGGGTTTTCTAGGCTCTGAATCTTTTGCTGGAGCAGAAAGCCTCATCTTTCTCCCTCAGAGCAGCTGGTGGGCGTGTGCTTCATAGTCCAGTGCTTATCCTGTGGAGCTACCATGCTATGAGTCCGAACTGGCTCCCTAGCGTCCAGCCGCCACCACCTTCCTTCCACCTGTTAGCTTTCTGAGAGATTTTCAACGTGTCATCTGGCTTTAATTCTATACTCTTCTTTCACATCTGAACATAAAGTCCACTGAGCATCTAACGGAAGCTGAGAATTTCACTGCTCTCAGCATTCCTCGTGATTGACATCTGTCTCTTTAGGAGACCTGCACTCACTAACACTTCCCGCTAATCACCAAATGCAATAAAGCATCCGAGTGTAATAAACAAGTGCAGCTATACTGACAACAAATATATGCCAAAATCAGATGATTTCTAAAAGCTCGACGTCATCATCTAAAAAGCACGTTTAGTCAGATGTATTAAAGCAGGACAATCTATAGTCACCTTTCTAAATTTGATGTTTTAAAATAAATGTTGCTTTGCTTTTCGGTACATGCATTTTAAAAAAACAACTGTGTAGCCTGTAGAAGCTTTTGCTGTTTACCTGGTAGCTACTTACTCAAATGTCAAACAGACCTCCTCAGGAGAGAAAATGAACAGCTTTACTCACGTGAACCTGATAGCCCAAATCTGAAAACTTGCAGCAAAACATGACCTACTTGTGACATAATCTGCAGAAGCTTTTTCTGAGCAAAGCTAGGCCATCTCAGAGTATACTAAATTTGTGTTTGTGACCCTGACGGCAAAGGAGTTCTTCCTCTCCTGGGTCTGGAGGGCTGTGTGTGCCTAGGTGCTGTGTTAACCTCTCTGGTGCTCGACTCCAAGGCTCCTACTTCTGCTCTTCTCTCCCCGATGCAGAGCCCACACGGGTGCACTAATCTGCAGCGTCTCTGTGCTTCTCTTCTTACCTCCTCTTTCCCCTTCTCTTTCCCTTTCGCTGTGATGTGTCCAGAAAAGGAAGTCGAGTTCCAGCGTGCACCTAATGGTGAGCCTTGCCTGCCCACCCATCCGCCCACTCCATGCTGCCTGCCCCTGCCTGCCAGCCACGCAAGCCCATTCTGCCATGTGCGTGTGCTCCACTCATCCTCACTGCATGTCTGTGCTGTGTGGGCAGCTGTGGCCTGTCCTGCCAGGCAGGGGCCATTGCCTGAGGTCACCGAGTGGCCTACAGTGGGCATTGAAACATGTGGTACAGCACACCCTGCTGTGGAGGTTAACGGCCCCCTGTAGTCCAGGACAGGAAGTGAAGCTGGCACGGAATGAGGCCAGGCAGCAAGCTCGGGGAGGTCTCCCCAATTCACTGTCTCTCAGGAGGAGAGGCCCTGCCCACTGGCACAAGCAGCCTCTTCCTGAAGACCTGCGGCCAGTGAGCAAATGTGTGTTGGCAGATGAGCTGGTTGTAGGCTCATGGCTCCAAGCCCCGCTCTCCTGGCCTTTTCCCTTGTGTAAGTGCCCATTACCAGGCTGTGCTCGGGTTCATCCTTCCCACCCAGCCCTCAGGGGACCTGTGGAGACTCCAGTGAATGCATCTTCTTTCTCATGAGACACAGCCGCTTGAGTCATTATGAAACCATCCATTAATCCCACAGCTCCGCCCTCTGGGGTGACAGCTCCACCCTCTGCAGACACGAGGACTCCAGGTGGGCACCCTGGAGTCCTCACCCCCACCTGTGCGCTTTTTCTCTCAGTGGGGCTTTGCAAGCAGGACCTCTTCAGCACTTGCAGCCAGGAGGGGTCTTGCTCCTTCCTAATTTCAGTTTCGGTAGAAGCAAGCTGAAGTTTGCAGGAGTTTAGAACCACATCTAGACTCTTCCTGGGACCTCCTCTTTTCTATGCTGCAGAGTTCAGTGAAACCGACTTAGCATTTTTAGTGTCTGACTAGTGATTCCATGCTCAGCCCTGCGCTTAGGAGTCTCTCAGCACTAGACAGAAGCTTGGGGTAGTCTGGTCCAAGGGGCCATGAAAGAGACTTCTGGGCAAGAAGTAGGACAGGCTGGACAGCTGGGAGAGAAGAGGCATGTCCTTTCTGTCGCCGTGTTCTCTCTGTGCCCTGTCCAGAGACAGGGGCCACCTGTTTGTTTCTCTACCTGTGGACCTTACAGGTGTCAGGCTGCTCCCCTGTGGCCCCTGACCCTGCAGGGACCGCGGTGAGTCTGAGTATGCTGGTTAAGGGATCATAAGGCAGAGAGCTTCAGTTGACTCCCCACCTGGGGACTTTGCCACGCCAGGTCATGGTTTGAAAGACAAGGATATATCCTTGATGGTGCTGCTGGTAGGAATGGTGACCTGTTCTTGGGGGCTGGGTTCTGGGACTGTAGCCACAGCCCCCACCTGAACTCCCCTGCTCCTCCTTTGGTGCTCTGCCAGGCAGAAAAGTGGCCAACACAGTCCTCTCTGTCCCTCAGGGCCAGGGGATGCAGTTTGTATTCAACATTGAATTCCATTCCTTGCTTCTCTGGACACTATCTCCTAGGCCAAGTATCTGTCTTTTCTTCTTCTTCTCCTTTGCAGTTCAGGCTTCAAACTGGTTTTTTAAGGGGAAGGAAATCCAGGTGTAGAAAAGAGCAGCAGGAGACAGCCCACAAATGTGGGACTCAGAGTCTCCCAGTTGTGTTCTGCTTCCTTATAAACTACACCTTCTCTCTCCCTCCCTGTAAAGTGGGGAGAAGATTCTGCATTTCTTCGGGTCAAGTTTGATTGCGTAAGGAGATGGCACCTGGAGAGTTGCTTGAAAACAAGCCTCTTGGGGTGGTGTCTCACTGTGAGGATGCCTCCAGAGCCCCTCTGTTCATCTCTCCAGCCATTATCCACTCATAGAATGTTATGGAGACCGTCTCAGGCCAGCTCCGCCAGGCCGGGCCAGGGGACAAGGGAGGTCTGGGTGTCGATTCTGAGCTGCCTGGGTGACTCTGGAGGAACTAAACCATCTGTTTTCTTGTCTCAGCCACAGAGCAACAACAAAAACAGTCTCGTAAACCCAGCCCAAGAGCCCGCGCCCTTGCAGACGGCCATGGTACCTCCTGATTACAGCTTCTCTGCCTCTGCCACTGGCTGCCTCCTGCTTCTCCCCTCTTCCTCCTCTTGTCCCCACTTCCCAGACTTCCTAGCCTTTTTCCTTTCTCGGCCCCTGTAGAGTAGGCTGCTTTGTATACTTGAGGGCCAGTCCCCTTCATTGTCCCACTTGGCCATGCCCCTTCCTGCACGACAGAATTGCTGCTCCTGCTCCTTTCGCTGGTGGGGGGAAGTAGTAGTTAGGGCTCTCAGCTAAATCTCCCAGCCCCAGGCAGGGACCCCTGATGGCTCTGCTGTGTGGGCTGGAAGGAGCTTTCTTGGTACCATCAGTTCTCAGAGGCCTCCTCATAAAACTCGCCTCAGCCTCTTCTTTGCAAAGGCAGGAGCAAGTAGGAGGGCTGTGACCCCCACGTCTGGAAGGTGCTGAGGTCTTTGGGTTCATAGTGAGCCCTGTGCTGTCTGAGTTCTTTCTGGGCTTTGAGGGGGTTCGGGGGGGCTCTCAGAGCTCCCTCTGCTATGTTGCTGGAGACTGAGCTAGGGGATAGTGAGAGGGAGGGGCCACTGTGCCGGCTATTCCTTTACTTCCTGTGGGGTCTCCTGCTGCCTGACGGTGTTGTAAGGGAAAGGTGAGTGAAGCCGGCTGTTCCCGGGCTCAGCTTGCCGAGGGAGTATATGGGGTCTTTCTGGAAGACCTTCTCATCTGCTCTCCCTAGGACCCTGCCTCCCGCACACCCTTGATGAGCACTGTTAGCAGGGCCTGGCCTGTGTCCGAAATCCCAGCGCTCCTCCAGTAGACTTGCCCATGACTGCACTCTGGGAAAAGTGTCAACACCAGCATGAATCAGGGACTGAAGGCCTTGTCCTCAGGGCTTCCCTGGCGTCTGATTCGACCCGCGAGGTCCTTTCCTTAAATCTGAGGCTTTCCAGCTCTTTGGAATCCTTATTGAGACAGAATATTTTGTCTTGTGGGAATGGCTGATGGCCTGGCCTCAGTGGTCATCATAGTGTCACCAGAGTACCGGGTAGAGGGCATGATTTCTCGGGGTCAAGCTGTATGTAGGTCTGTCCCCAAGTTCAGAAAGTAATTCTCATCTTCTCTTACAGGAACCACAAACTACTGTGGTACACAACGCTACAGATGGGATCAAGGTGAGTGGCCCCCCAAGCCATCTGCTTTCCAGGTCAGCAGGAAACAGGTGGGCTGGGTCATGGGGGCAAAGAGCTCTGTGGTTTGGCAGCGTACAGGCTGCACCCTGAGGTTGAGGTGTTTGCAGAGTCTAGGCTGGCTAGTGTGTGCCTGTTTGTGGCTACCCTACTAGAAATGGCATTATACATAGTGGTGCCCAGCTCAGGCACTGTGGTCAGACAGTCCTGGGTTTGAATCCTGTCTCTGTGGTACTGCGAGGTCACTTAACCATTCTACCCTCAGAGTCTATATCCGTCAGTTGGGGATACCGTCAGTTGGGGATACCGTCAGTTGGGGATAACAGTAGAACCTCCCTCCATTACATGTGTCATTGACATGAGAGCAAAGGCTAACTAAAGAAACCAGCAAGCATCTAATCAGACTCTCAAGCATTCCCTGCAGTTTCACTCGCTTATGATCCCAACAGTCTGGTCTCTGTTTTTACTAACACTTAGTAAGTATTTATTGAGTCCAAACAATATCCATGGCTGTGGTTTACAGAGGTGACAAGATAACAAGACAAAATCCTTGTCCCCAGGGACAGTTTAGTGAAGAGGTGGGAGGTGTGTGTGGATGTGGGGGGGGGGGGAGCCTAAAACAATAATCAAATAAGATATAATCCAATAAAAATAAGTGCTATATGGTACCAAGTCAAGAGCTAGTGTTCACAGCCTTTAATCAAGCAGTCCAGGAAGGGACTCAGGAGGTGCAATTCAAGCTAAAAACTGAACGACAAGAACAAGGCAGGCCAACAAGCTTGGGGGCTGAGTGCCCTGGCAGAAGGAACTGCAGGTGTAGAGGCTTGGCGGGTAAGAGGAAGACAGGATGGCAGGCAGAGCTCTCAGCTTGGTGAGCAAGGACAGCGTGGTAGGAGGGTGCTATGGTGGAAGGAGCACGGTGCTCTGTAGGGCCTGGAAAGAGTTTGCATTTTATTCTCGCAGCCATGAGAAGCCATCAGCACGTCTAAGTAAAGGAGTAATATAATCCGATTTATGCTTCAAAAGATCCATGTTGTGGGGCAGGATTGAGGGAGGAAACACGGAAACCAGGAAGCGGTTAGGTTATTAAGGTACAAAATGATGGTTCCTTGGGCTCAGTCATAGTGTGCCGTTGAAGAGAAGCGGTAAGACCAGGGTTTTATTTTGGAGGCAGAATGGACAGCTTTCATTTCAGATTACATCATTGGGATGGGTATAAGGGAAAAAGAAAGAACCAAGATAACTAGATTTTGGCCCAAAGAACTGAGTAGATGCAACAATCCTGGGCGGGAACTTGAAAATCCAGAGTTTGGTTAAGAGTCAGGTGGCAAGGCTAAAAGGAGAATTTCCGTGATTCCTCATAGCACCCCATGCAGGAGCACATACCCTACTTTTATTGTGCCTGGCTTCCTCAGTTTACAAGGACCCAGGCAAATAGGAGGACCCAGGAATGTGTTCTTTTTGGCCTACAGGGCTCCACAGAGAGCTGCAATACCACCACAGAAGATGAGGACCTTAAAGGTAGGTGCTGGGCCCTTCAGGAAGAAAGGACCCCCCACAGGGACCCAAGTATCTTGACTCCAATGGGGTTCCTGTCTTGTCAGTCCCAAGAACTGGGAATGGTGGCTCCCAGTACCCCAGCAGTGAGTTTGGCATGAAAGGTACTTTCTGTAGACCAAAATATGAGGCTCCTGTCTGGGGCTGCTGACTTGAGAAGAAGCTTCTCTTCTTTGACCCCAAGTCTAGAAAAGCCAAACTAGAGATTTTCCTGGACCTATTAAGGCACCTATTTAGGGCTCAGATAACTTTGTGTTGCTAATAATGATTTGACATTCCCATACCAGGGACATCTCTAGTCCCTACAGGAAGAAGTAGATAGACCACAAGGGTTCTGAGTCACAGGTAGTGTCTCAGTTTTCTGGAGGCTGAAGGAATTCCTGGGATGTGAAACCCATCCCTTGTCTCTCCAGACATCATTTCCTAGGCTAAGTATCATCAAATTTAAATTTTAGAAACTGATGCAAAACCTTCCATTTTAAAACCAGGACAGTTCCAGGCAACTGTCACCCAAGTCGTGAGGCCTTGGCATGAATGGTGGAGTGGGGACTCTGATATTTATCTGATCACATTTGGTTCAGAGTACCAGCCAAAGCTTGAAGCTGACGGGCGTGCCAGGGAGTGTGGCAAGGAAAGGTGTCTAGGCCCCTGGGAATCTTTCCTGACACTTGGCTCTGGCCTCCTGGAATTGCTCCCTTTGCTCCAGCAAGTGACCTTAGACATGTAGACAAGGCTATCAGAAAAGAGGAGTCCTGATGTGGCGCTGTGAGTAAATGCGCTGGACTGCAATGTCAGCTTAAACCACAAGGTCGGCGGGTTCAAGCTCACCAGCAGCTCCTTGGAAACCCTATACAGGTTCACTCTGAGTCGGAACGGACTCAGCGACACTTAACACCAGAGGAGAGCTTTGTAGGACAGAACTGAGAAAGCAGACATAGGAGCAGTAAGGAGACACCAAATCTTGGAAAAACCCATCCCCCTCCCTCAAAAAAAAAAAAAGAAAGCATGCCTAAAAGGGAGTCCTGGCAGCGCAGTGACTACAGCACTCACCTGCTAACTAAAAGGTTGGTGGTTCAAGCCCACCACCCGTTCCATGGGAGGAAGACGTGGCAGTCTGCTTCTGTAAAGATTGGCAGCCTTGGAAACCCTAGGAGGCATCTCTGCTGTTTCCGGCAGGGTTGAATTGAGTTGGAATGGCCTCTACAGCCCTGGGATACTTCCTGGTATTTTAGAGCAGTGCCTCCAGGGCTGCTGGGATTCAGGTCAGAGAAATGTGGGTCTGGGGATGCCGGCAGAGGAGGAGGGTCCTTCACTGTTGGCTCTTGCCTGTGTCCTTGTCCCCTAGAACATCTTCCCATGAGCACAAGGCCTGGTACAAGCGGTTTTAAGGCTCCTTTGTAAGCCACAAACCCAGGTCCTTGCACCTTCCTGGGGCTCTCAGCTGGGAGGCCTCTCTGGCAAAGGTGGCGGCGTGGGATGTGGGCCAGTGTCCACGGCAGCCCAAAGCGTCCCTCCGCAGCGCCACGGGCTCAGGGCCTGTCCGGCTTGCTCGCTCACCTGCCTTGTTCTGTTTGTTTTGGCTGCTCTGCCTTGCCCTGCCCTGCCCTGGCTGGCTAGCTGCCCCGCTCCGCACTGGGGATGGCAGCTCGGTGCCTGAAGGACGGAGCTCCCGGGACAGAACAGCCCCCTCTACAGGCATGCAGCCCCAGCCTTCTCTCTGCTCCTCAGCCAGTAAGTGTGAGGGAGGCACATTCTGGCTTCCGTCTCCCTGGCTCGTCCTGAAGCCCCTCAGGGACCCCCACCAGAGCTGTCAGCCCAGCCCAGCTGCCCGTCTTAGTAAGCTTTGGGAGCATGGCTCTGCTAGGGGTGGGGGAGCTGTTTGGAGGCACTGTTAATCCTAGAGGGGGTGGGGGGGTGCACATTGGCCTGTGGCCCCTTAGACTGGGGCCCAAAAACCAGCTGCAGAGTGGGTGGAAGAACGTGATACGGAGGAAAGTGGAAAGCCACTGGGGACTGCCATGGGCCTTGCCCCAGCAGTGAGCCAGGAGGAAGGGTGGAGTGAGAAATCAGGTCCTGGGTGGGGGGCTAAAGGGAGGGCCAAGGTGAGAGAGAATGCGAAAAGAGAGAAACGGGGGTGTGGTGTTTTCCTGAGGCTCAGCATATTAACATGATTAAGAGCATGGGATTTGGCGTGAGAGAGACCTGAGTTCAAATCCAAGCCACACTACCTGGAAAAATGGGTGGCCTAGCTGACTTCGTAGAGCTGCAGTTTCCTTATCTGGAAAGTGGGAATATACTGTAGCTACCTCCTAGTGTTGTGATACACAAATAAAGGGTGTTTTCAGTTGTCTGTAGAAAGGATGCCTTTGTCTGCTGCTGTTCCTCGCAAACATGGATTGTGGGAGAGAGTTTTTATTGAGTACAGTCCTCTTCACCCGTAGGGCCCCAGTCAGGTCCTCCAGATGGGTTTGGTGGGGTTGGAGCGGATGTACACGTGCACATGTGTGAGTACGCACCTGCTTTTGCTGTTAGAATGTGAATGACAGAGCTCATCGATTTCCCTAACCTGTGGTTTACTTACCTGAAGATAGTGCCTGATGGGGCTGATGGCTATGAGGCCCCTTCCTGGCTGCACCTTTGTCTGTACCACCCCCACCCAGCTGTGCTCCTTACCTGGGCAGGTCTGGCCACGCTGCGGTGATGCTGTTCTAATGCTTGCATTTGTCTTGCAGCCTCTGGCTCCCATGAAAGGCTTGGGTCCTGACCAGCGTGTGGCTGCAGTCAGGGTTATCATGAGCTCAGTCCAAGCCCTCCCCTCCGCTGGCAGAGCCCTCTGCTAATAGTGGTGCTTCCAGGAAGTGCGCGGGGCAGGATGTCTTGAGGAACGGGTGGAGTGCTCTTAGGGCACCCCAACTCTGCCCATCAGCCTGAGCCTTGCCTTGGTTTTACAGAGGAACACACCTTGCTATGACAGCTGGTATGCAATTGAGAGCTTTGCCAAAGCTTGTCCAGGGCAACAGGAACTGTCTCTCTGGGGAGAGGCTGTCAAGAGAAGAGTTTGGATAGTTCCAAGGTCCCTTATCCCAGAAAAGCCCTATAAACCTGCGGAGGCGATGTGCAGCGTGAAGAGGCTGTGGTATTCATCCTAGGACTCTGTGCCTCATCTTGGAGTTCTCATCCCTGGCTGGGTTCTGGGCCCAGGGCTGTGACTGAGACCTGACTGAGCCCCTTGGGATGAGAGAAGTGAATGGGTAGTGGCAACCGCTGCTTAGGCTGAGCCTGCTAGGAACACAATACGTAGGCTCTGGCTCTGGGTATAGTGCGCATGACATACCAGCCTCCTCAGCTGTTAGTGATAAGGGTGTGCTGAGACCTGGTTGTTGATGGAGCAGGAGGCAAAGGACAGAAGTGTTTTCTTCAGGAGGACGGGGCCGTTGGCTCTACTGACACCCACAAGAGGGGGATGGAGACAAAGGTGGCCTCTCTCTTCTGCCAAGAGCCTTAAAGGCAGAGAAGAGGGATGTTTTTATCAGAGGGATGTTAGGGAACTCTCTGAAGGACTGGGGGCAGGCTTTCTGACCCTTGGGAGCTTCCCCAGTCCCACACAGGTAAATTGCTGGGTTTTTGTTCCCCACAGTGCGAAAACAGGAGATCATTAAGATCACAGAACAGCTGATTGAGGCCATCAACAATGGGGACTTTGAGGCCTACACGTGAGTAGAGAGACCCATTTCCTTGAGATCCAAATTGTCTCTCAAGGCCTTCCTTGCTCTCAGAAAGTAGCTGGGACCCTGGGAGAAGAGAAAGCTGGATTTGGGAACTAGGTGTCTGAGTTAAACACCAGGCCTCTAGGCTGGGAGCCCTATCAGGTAGATGCTCTGTAATCTAGCTCGCCCCAGTGTCCTGGCTGCGGGCAAAAAGCCCTGGTCAGGCAAACCCCTAAGGGCTTTGTCCAGCCCGGCAACAACTAACTTGTAGCTTCAGGACAAATACCACTGACAAGGGAGACAAGTAAAACCCATAAGAGACTGACCAGCTGCTTTTTTTTTCCCCCTGCAGGAAGATTTGTGATCCTGGCCTCACTTCCTTTGAGCCTGAAGCTCTTGGTAACCTGGTGGAAGGAATGGATTTCCATAAGTTTTACTTTGAGAATCGTGAGTGGGTTCGTGCTGCTGAAATACTCCTGCCTGCCCCTTCTCCCCCCTTTGCTTTTGTCCCCAAACACTTTCAGCACTCCCAGTTACCTGTATTCCACTTATTTTACCTGCCTGTTGCTCCCCTGGTCTGTGCACTTAATTCCTGTGCTCTGACAGTCTATAACTAGCTCTTTCGGAGGGACAGCTCCCAAGCCCCGTGTACTTGAAGCTGGCAGAGTTTGCAGGGCAACCGCCACAAAAGGTTCACCGGATATCTTTTAAAGCTTCACCTCTTCCCAAGAAGGATTGGAAAAACCATTTGAGATTAGATGATCTCAGCAAATAATTAACGAAGCTCTGTGTCTGCAGGTTTCACAGTAGAGGAAATTAAAACCAGGATAAGAATGTGTAAGCAAGTAATAGGGCAGTGGTGGTGATTTCTGAGCTTGGAGATTGTGGCTAAGATCCTTCTGACTGTCCATGTAGGCAGGAGTCTTGGAATGGGTGGGGGATACTCTCGACAGTTCTTAGACGCCCCATCCCTGCCACCATCCTTCAACCTTCTCTCTTTCTCCAAGACCCTCTCCTTCCTTACTTGATTCATTCCTTGGTTCATTCGTTTTTACAACTTTCTCACTTTTTCTGGGACCTCCCCGTGTCCTACCCCGAGTTTCATTTTCTACTGTTTTCTCCACTGATATCACCCACTCTACCTCTCAGCTGCAAATGGAAACCTTAGGCGCCCTCAGGAATTCTAGTAACAAGAGGCAATTCCCGGGCTTCTAGAAGCTCAAGGGAAAGTTTCTTGTAGCCTCTGTCTTTAACGCTTGAATTGAACTTAAATGTGAATTTCAATAAAAGCAACAGCATTTGTACAGTGTATTCTCATAACAGCAATCCTACTTTTTTTTGCCTTTCTCCCAGAGGATTCTGGGAACCCTGGGAATATCCTGAGTTTGGTGTTTTGGTGACAACTTTGGTGCCCTTTTTTTTCTTTTTTTTCTTTTTTGTAATCACAAGTCAGTTTTGAATGAGTTTTGTGGGTTTACTGTGCAGTCCTAATGAGGGACAAACCAACAATTACAAAATCTAGACAGACTATAGATTTTAGTTAGGGTCACATAATCCTGGGTTCAAGTATATGATTTGGGTGGGCTAATCTTTGAGGCTGTTTCCTTATCTTGCAATGAAGAAAAGTATGGATCAAGAGCTACCGCTCATGCGTGTGAAAGCCTTACACAGTGCCTAATTAAAACAATAGCTGCTGCCATCATGATCACCACCTTTCTCTTTGTTGATAAAGTTGGAGACCAGTGTGATTGGGTATCCTGCCTCTAAAGGGTGTTTGGGGGGACTTAATCATTCTAGGAATGACTGGGACGAGAGGGTGAGACTTCTGGAAGTAGGGTTTGGGAGGAAGATGCAGGTCCCCAGGCCTGATGCCCCTCCTACCTACTCCACCCTGCCCTGCCCCCTGCAGTCCTCTCCAAGAACAACAAGCCCATCCACACCACCATCCTGAACCCGCACGTTCATGTAATCGGGGAGGATGCTGCTTGCATCGCCTACATCCGCCTCACCCAGTACATCGACGGGCAGGGCCGGCCTCGAACCAGCCAGTCGGAGGAGACTCGGGTCTGGCACCGCCGGGATGGCAAGTGGCTCAATGTCCACTACCACTGCTCAGGGGCCCCTGCCGCACCGCTGCAGTGAACTCAGCCACAGGTGCACCTGGGGGCAGGGCTGGGACAGGTGGGATCAGAGGAGGAAAAGGCCGGTGGGAGGTGGTATGGAGGGGAGGAGGTGTGGACCATCCCATGGGGTCTGGGCAGTGCGGTCAAACTAGGGTCCCCTTCCGTGACTCCAAATTGAGTGACCTGGGACAGGTTATTTCCCCTCCTGAAGCCTCAGTTTCCTTAGCTTATAAAGAGGGAAAAGAAAGAGTGGTACCTAGTTGGCTGAGTGGTTGTGAGGATACTGTTAAGCACCTAGTAACTGCTCAGCAAATGTAAGGCAATGTTGTATTTAAACATTAGCTTTTCCCCCCATCTCCCACCTTCTCAGGCAGATTTGACCACGTGCACAGTGTGCTTCAGTTCCTGGGACTCCGGTGTGTACTCAGCATCCTCTGTTCTGTTACCACATTCTGTCCTGTTTGACAGGAGCATTAGGAGATCCCAGCTGGAGGTCGAACCTTCGCAGCCAGTGGCTCTGGAGGGCCTGAGTGACAGCGGCGGTCCTGTTCGTTTGAGGTTTAAAACAATTAAATTACAAAGCGGCAGCAGCCAATGCACGCCCCTGCATGCAGCCCTCCCGCCCGCCCTTCGTGTCTGTCTCTGCTGTACCGAGGTGTTTTTTACATTTAAGAAAAAAGAAAAAAAAAAGATTGTTTTAAAAAAAAAAAAAAGGAATCCGTACCATGATGCGTTTTAAAACCACCGATAGCCCTTGGGCTGGCATGAAGGCAGGAGTTTGTGTGACGCCCACCCTGGCATGAGCAGCGGGCGGAGCTACCAGCCCAGAAGAGGCGAGCTTGGCCTCTGGCCCCCCACAGACTCAGGGGGACCAGACAAGAACTCTGACAGAGCTTCGAGGTCATGATGTGATTGCAGCCCCCAAAGTAGCCTGCCTGCTCCAGGTATAGGAATGGACTTCTTCAGAACTTGCATGGGTGCCTCGAATGAGGCTGATGAGAACATTGTGGCCATCAGACCTGCTGGGGAGAGAACGCAGAGCTCCCAGTGTGCTATGGAGGCAGAGGAGATGCAGTGGCCTCAGGACTGAGGGCCCGGACGTACTGTACTCTGTTCCATGTAATGTTGAAGGGAAGAGAATTGGTGCTGCACAAGTGTGTTCGTGAGGAAGCCAATGAGAAGCCTCGAGTTAAGTCTGACAAGCACTCACTTATTCATCCATTTCTATAGGATGCACAATGCACGTGGGCCCTGATATTGAGGCCTGAACCCTTGCAGGGAAGGGAGAGGGGTTGCCACTTTGCTTCATGTTTGTTTTCTTATAACTTAGCAAGGAGAGAGCCAGGCCGTGGTCAAGCCTCTCCATGCCGCTAAACAGCAGTTCTGTTTCTGTGCTCACTTGGACCATCTTTGTCTTGCCTTTTCATGGTGGTGGTCCCCGTGCTGACCCTCATTTGGACCTGGGCCCTCTGCCAAGTGCCCCTGGGAGATGGGAGGAGTGAGGCAGTGGTGGTACTGCTGGTGGTGGTTTCTATGCATATTCAGGCTGCCCTTCGGACTGCCTCCCTTGTCCTCCTCCCTTGCTGCACGGCCATCTCTGTTCCTGTCTGAGATTCACCTAACTACTCGGACAAGAAGAACAGGTGTCCTCCTTAAAGAGGCCTCTTCACTGACCAACGAAGTATAGACTTACTGCTGGACAATCTGCATGGGCATCACCCCACTCCCATTTGCATGCCCCTAAAAGAGGTGTCCAGGAGCCATGGCTCTTACATTCATTGTCCCTCTCTGTGCTCCAAGAGTTCCATTCCAGGAGGGAATGATCCATGCTTTAAGCAGATAGCAGAGAAGAGAATGGAGGAGTAAGCTGTTCAGAGTGGTCCAGAGATACTGGCACTTTGCAGGGAAGGGTAGGTAGGTCCCAGTTCCCTGGACTCTCTCCAGGAGGCTGGGGAGAGCAGCACACTGACAGGTGCTGGTGCTTGGGTTTGGCCAGGCTCCTCTGAGCACCTCATGCATGCCCCAGCCTCAGCCGCTGGGCCCTGCCCCTCTCCTGCCCAGCCGCCTGCAGCACCGACAGTCACCTTCACCATGGGGTTGCTGGCTTGAAGACAAATGGTCTTAGAGTTCATTGAGACCCATAGCTTCATCTGGCTGCTCCAGCCCCACTTCTTAGCATTCTTATTCCTTTCTGGGGCTAATGTCAGCATCTATAGACAATAGACTATTAAAAAAATAATAAAAATCACCTTTTAAACAGGAAATGGAAGGCATTTGATGCAGAATTTTTGCATGATGACTTAGAAATAATTTAAAATAGTGTTTGTTCTGAATGTCGGTAGACCATAGCTTTGTTACAATGAAACCTTGAACTGAAGATATTTAATAAAATAACCTTTAAACAGTCCGTTGTGTTACTACTGTTGGAGGTTTATGGCCAGGGGCTTAGATTTTAACAGCCTGGGTTCCAAGTGCCTCTCCCACTCCCTTTGTGCCCTTTCTAAAATAAAACGTCGCCTTATACTCTGACCCCTCTTTCTTGCTACTGAGGCAAGTTTGGGACGAGGAAGAGGTGGGCTAGGGGTCTCGCCCCACCCCAGAACTCCGCCCGCTGTCAAGGCCCGCCCTCGTCCCTCACTCCTCAGTGGGCCGATCCGCACCACCACCACCCCCTTCCCGCAGGGCTGAGTGGACGAGCCCGCGCCCTGGGCACGCCCCTGCTCCTGCGTCCGCGGTGCTGACGCTCGCCGGACTGTGCCACCGAGCTGGGACGGGGGGGAGCCCCTCTGAGGGCAGGGCGCGGAGCCCGCCGTCGGGGAGACCGCGCCTCAGCTAAGCGTGGCTGAGGACCGTTCGACTACCCAGTACCTCGACCGCGTGGAAGCTGGATCCAAAGCCAGCAAAGAACCGAGTGGGCACCGCGATCGACAGCGCGCCGCCTCCCCCCGGTAGGAGCGGCGGTTGGGCTCGTCTGCGGCAGAACGTTCGATCGGAGATGGCGGAGCCGCCGCGACGCGGCCCGAGGCTCCGAGAGCCGGGAAGCCGGGCAGCCCCGGGACACGGCGGAGCCCGGGGACAGCGGGGACGCCGCCCAGTCCGCCGGGTGAGCCGCCCTTGAGAAGATTGCCACTCTCAGAGTGTGGTCCTTACCCACGGTCGCCCTCAGTTCTTTCCTTCACAGACTTCCCTCTCAGCCTTGCCACCCTAACCACCCGTAGGGTTGCCCGGGTGGCCCCTCGCCCCGTGTCCTCGCTTCTAGCTATCTCAATCCCCTCATCTCGCCCCACTAGTACGGGGCGCCCTCCAACCCTCGGGGTTCTCCCCACCCAGTTGCTGCCTGGATGTCACCCCAGACTCCGCTCAGCACTCCCCTTTAATGCCCCACATCCGGTGCGTTCTTCAGATCCATCTGTGACCGCAGAGCCCCTCCATCCTTGATTCCTGCTGTGCCAGCCCCCCATGCCGTGTTTCCCCTCGGAATCCCCACCCAGTCCCTGTTAGTGTTGCGCGCTCTCAGCCCAGGCCCAGGGACCCCTTCGGTTTCTTCCTCTGCAGTGCCCCCGACCCCCACGAGCTCCCCCAATAGCTCTCAGCATCCCTCCCCTAAATATTGCTGCCGCTTCTGGGTCTGAAGCTGGACTGCGGTGGTTGCGAGCTCGGGCTTTGGCGTCTGACAGGCACACCTTTGGATCCCCCAGGTTCTCCAGTTTGACTGACCGTGTGATCCTGGACAAGTTACTAGGCTTCTCTGGGCCCCAGATTACTGACTTGTAAAATGGAGCTATTAATGGTAGTACCTATCCCATGTTGCTGCTGGGTGCAATTGAGTCAGTTCTCACTCAAGCAACCTGTATAGAGTTTCTGAGGAGTAGCTGGTGGGTTTGAACCACTGACCTTGTGGTTATTAGTAGACCAGTTCTTATGCTACACCAGGACTGCCTATCCCATAGAGCCGGTATATTCCTTTAAGTTTGTGTAGAGCTCTTAGAAGAGTGTCTGGCAAGTAATAAACTTTCAAAGAACAGTTGCCATTATGAGTAATTCACCTGAGTATCAACTTCTCACAACTATGTCTTCCCTGAAGTCCTTCTTTAATTCCGGGTTCCATCGCCAAGTGTATTCTCTCCTACTTCTTGTCTCATGTCAGTGAGTCATACTCAGGCCAACACTGAGCTTGTCCTAAATCATTTGATTCTGAAGGACCCTGAGTGAGTAGCGTGGGATTGCCCACAACTGACCCCACGAGGAGTAGCAGAGGGGACAAGAGTGGCAGCAAAGCTCCCACAATGGTCTAGCTAAGAAAGAAGTTCCCCCCATTAGGTCTCCTTCAAATTCTGTGCTTTTTAGCTACATTATCCTCAGTCCTCCAGTTGGTTGGCTATGACTTCAGTTCCTGTTGCTCTATCTCATCTATTCCCACACACTTTACTCGGAATCCCTCATAACTCTCTAAGAGACCCCAGGGACCCCTCTGAGTTGTTCAGGAATGACAGAGTAATACAGGAAAACCCGCAAACATCCGAAACTGTGTAAGGTGGAAACCTGTCAGAGAAAGATAGCGGAGATCTTTTCCACTAAGAGGAGTGATAGAAATGGTGTAAGACTGTACCCTGTCAAAGGTGGAACGCTTACGGAGGCCTGGAAAAACAAGTCCAAGTGTATTTTCTCCTAGTTCTCTTCTCATGTCAGTGAGTCATACCGAGGCCACAGCTGAGCTCGCCCTAAAGCATTTGATTCTGAAGGACCCTGTGTGGTAGAACTGCTGAGTCCCTGCTCTCAGCTGTAGTTTTCACTGTACCTACCCCTGGGCCAGGTTGGGAAGGAGAACAGGAATGAACAGGCTGAGAGACTCTGGAGTCAGTGCTCTGGCTTCTCGTACATTCCAGTGATATCACCTGCTTTGGGGTTACAATGTTGTCTCCTCACAGGTGAGGTGAAGGGGGAAAAAAACCCAAGCACATTGACACCCAGTTGATTCCAGTCATAGGAACCATACAAGAAAGATTCAAAAAGTTGGTGAAAAAAATTCCATTATCTTTAAATTCCATTTTCCCTGAACTTTTTTGAAGCCCTCTCATGTACAACAGAGCCCTGGTGTGGCACTGTGGGTTAATGCGCTAGACTACAAGGTCAGTATAAACCACAGGGTCGGCAGTTCAAGCTCATCAGCTACTCCTTGGGAACCCTATACTGGGTCGCTGTGGGTCAGAACTGACTTGATGGCACTTCACAACAACTGTTATCATTAGTTACAGAAGCAAATGGCCACACTTTTCTTCTGAGGAGCCAGCCGTTGGTGCGTTCAAACTGCCAATCTTTTACTTAACATCTGAACAGTTAACCACCGCACCACCAAGGCTCCCAGTGAAGGGAAGGGGATGGGTAATTTTTAACAAGCAATCGAAAACCGTCCTTAAGTTCTTGACGCTAATAGAATGAATCTTTTTCCTGTAAACGTCCCCCTTACTGTGGAGTCCACCTGACTGTGAATTCGTTAGTGCTGTCAGGCTGTGATGCTAAGATTGATCGATAAGAAAGATTAGCATGCTCATGGGTTTCCTCTTAATCTGATATTTCGTTGGAGCACAAGACTTTTAGGACTTTACATCACAGAAAGACCAGAGCCCTTCTAGCTGAGTAACTGCTAGGGGCTGGGAACTTCTTTCAGGGCAG